GCCATCTCACCAGCCCCTGGGTTATATCTTGAGAAATGTTCTCAATTAAAAAAAATTTTTTTGAAAGGAAAGGAGAGGGAAATATGGAGAAAGGTAAGTGTCAGCACCCATTCCTGGGACACTCTAATCTTCAGGCCAGAGAGGGTTTGTTGTTCTGTACAGATGAAGATGGAGACAGTTTCTATCCGTACACATCCAGTTGTCCTTTGTTTTTTCTTTTTGAGACAGGGTCTCGCTATGCAGTTCAGGCTGCCCTTGAGCTCATTTTGTAGCCCAGGCTGGCCTCAAACTTGCAAAGATCCTTCTGCCTCAGCCTCCTGAGTGCTGGGATTACAGGCTTGGGCCACCTCGCCCAGCTTCCACAACTTTGAAGAGACTTTCAGAGAATTTCTAAAATCCCGTGTTGGAAGACAGTTTAGGATTAGGTTACGTTTTATATTCTACAAATCCTGGGATTCTAGAACTTTGGTGCTGTGAGGGTCTACGCAGAGATACTAAGAATGGTACAGCGGTCCATTCATGTGTTCTGACCAAAGAACAGTGGGACTTTTTAAAACATACGTTCATATTATTTAATGCCACGCCAATCTCGTACCGATGAAACTCGGGTTCTTAATCTAACAAAAGACCGCTTGGTAGGTTCTGAAAAAAGGACTAGAGCTAGTGTTTTAAGGAGGGAAAGCAGACTCGGCAGCTAGCGAAGGAAGAGGCGGGCCCGCGCATGCGCACCGCTTGCCGGCCGCCGAGGTCTGGGTTTCCTCTTACAGTCACTCTTCCTTCCAGTCCAGTACGGTGGCCGACAGGAGACAAACTCTGGGGATGAATGAAGGTGCTGGGGGCGGGTTAAAAAAGTCTCCTCCGCTTTTTTCCTCTCTCCAGATTTGCTTCTGCCTCTGTGACCCGTCTCCCCACCCTGCCCCCATTTTATCGACGACCCGGTTTGGCCCAGCGTCTGAGTTCTTGGCACAGCCAGGGTTTGGGGATCCGGATGATCGCCTAGGCCCAACTTCGGACCGCGTTCTCGAGTTTTGCCGCGTCCCGTCTCCAAGACGCGGAATCCCCGTGGGGCCCCGTGAAGCTGCAGGGTAGCTCCGAAGGTAGGAAGCGCCCGCTCCTCAGGCCGCGGCGCGTTCTCCGCCGGGTCGGCAGCCGGCCAGGCTCTGCTCTGCCGGAGGGACTTGTTGGCCGTCCTCACGACGCGAGCAGGAGCGGAGCAGCGCTCGGGGCTCCGCGAACCGACCGCTCGCGCTGACGGCCGAGCGTCGTTTGTGCCCGGGACTGCCCCGCGGTTCTGCTAGTCAGTCGGGCTCGGGAGGGGATGGCTCTGGCTACCTGCTTCGAGCCTCCCATTCCTTGCGGTGGTGTCGTGTGTGTGTGTGTGTGTGTGTGTGTGTGTGTGTGTGTGTGTGTGATTTCTCTTAAAGACAGAGAAGTCTCCAAGTGGGACTTGACTCTCTCGCAAAGATAAGTACCGACCCGTCTACTTTTTAAAAACCCAGTAACAGGGGACATAAAATAGCGTTGACTTCTCCAGAGCCTGCAATCTGACGTGACTTTTGGCCACTGAGGTGATTTACCAGTGTTTTCATTTACTCATGCACGATGGGAAAGCAGTCCAAAAGTTTGGGGTTGGAACTCCATGACTGGGGCCTTTCGTGGACCTGCGTTTATGTAGCAAGGAGCTGTATACTTGGTACAGTGAAAGAAGTCTTAGATTGGGATTTAAAAGTTTTGTTATTATTTTTTCTAGATAGGGTCTTGCTATGTCGTTGTGGCTGATCTTGAACTCACTGTAGTGCAGGCCGGCCTCTAATTTGAGGCAGTCCTCCCGCCTCAGCCTCCCGAGTGCTGGGATGACAGGCTGCACCACCACACCTGGCTTTTGCCCTGATGTTTATTTCATGAGGGTTCAGCTTTCGGTTTTGAACAAACTAATAGTAGTACTTTGTGTCTGTGACTGAATTTTCTGGATTTGATACGTGTACTTTGGACATAAGAGTATTAGACCAGAAGATTCCTAAGGCTGGACCTAATAAGTTCTGTTTTTCACATTTTTCTAGGTGGTAGTAGAAACATAGAAAGAAACCCGAGTTTTAGTTGTACCCAGAAACATTGCCAACGTAAGGGCCTGCCAAAGACCCACCATATTTTTCTTTTTTCTTTCTTTTTTTTTTGTGGAACGGGGGATTGAACTCAGGCCCTTGCGCTTGCCAGGGAAGTGCTTATTGCACTGAGCCATCTCCCCGGCCCCTATATTTTTCAAATTCATACACGTTGCAGTTATAACCATGCATTTATTTATTTTTTATCACCAGGGTCAACAGCAATAATGGCTGAGTGTACAAGCCTTCAGTTTGTTAGCCCTTTTGCTTTTGAAGCAATGCAGAAAGTCGATGTGGTCCGCCTGGCATCTTTAAGTGATCCAGAGTTGAGACTTCTTCTGCCCTGTTTGGTACGGATGGCACTTTGTGCTCCAGCTGACCAGAGCCAAAGCTGGGCTCAGGATAAAAAACTTATCCTTCGCCTTCTTTCTGGAGTGGAAGCAGTCAACTCCATTGTTGCGTTATTGTCTGTGGACTTTCATGCTTTGGAACAAGATGCCAGCAAAGAGCAGCAGCTCAGGTAATATTCTGCCATATAATACATTGGTTGGGATTTACTTAGCTTTCTGAAAGAGTCAGGGAGTGAGAATGTAAACTTTGGAGATCATTTTACCTAGGACTTTTCTATTTGTAGTTAAAATTCTAGGGTCAATTCTATATTGTAAAATATCTCTAGAAAAGATTGGCCACATACTTTTGTGCCTAGAGAGAACTTACTAGGTCAGTTACTGTCAGTGGGAAGTGGGTTGGATAACTTCCCCTGGATTAGAAAGATTTACTGGACTCACTTAATGTGTTATATGCTTTGCTACCCATTCTGAATCCAGTAGGTGCTTTAGTTGAATGGAGTGTGTGTTAACTACCAGATGGGATGGGAATCCTTACCTATCTTGGGAATTGCTGAAATAGATAAACTAGCAGCATTTCAAAAAGAATAGAAAACCTTTAAAATGTAGACTATTTGGTAACATAAATTTTATGTAAGTATTATTTTCACACCAGTGTTCACATAGCTGTTGTTTTGCATGTTTGTACTGCATCAGGCATAAACTTGGAGGAGCCAGCAGTGAAAGCATCCTGGTATCCCAGCTTCAGCATGGACTGACATTAGAATTCGAACACAGTGATTCCCCTCGTCGATTGCGTCTTGTGCTTAGTGAACTGTTGGCAATTATGAACAAGGTGCCCTTTTATGTTTTGGACATAATAGTATCCATGATTTTTTCTTTCAAAATTTTATTTTTACTAATACATGTTTGCAGTACATAATGATTACTTTCGTCGTGGGGAGCTGGTACATGTTCAGAACACATCTTAATTCTTTTAGTATCTCCTTCTCCTTTCTGTCTTCCTCTCACTCCATCTCTTTGTCTCCCTCCTGTTTGCAAGGGAAAGTATTTGTGCTTTGATCTCTATGCCTAGAAAGGTAGAGAGAAATAGAGGCAAGAAGTCAGGCAGGTTGCATCCTCTACTGTTATTTCCATTTGATAGTTATTTCCCTTTCAAAGGTTAAAATGATATTAAAAGTATACATTAAAAAAAAAGTATACATTAGTTTGTAATCCCAGCTATTCTAAAGGCTGCAATAGGATTTTAGGTTTGAGGTCAATCTGGGCAGTTCAGTGAGATCTCATTTCAAAATAAAAAGTGTTGGGTTATAACTTTGGGACAGTGTGCACCTAGGTTTGATTCCTACTGTTGCAAAACAAGAACAACAAAACGAGCCCCAAGCTACCACCACCACCATAAAAACAAAAAACAAAACCAACAACAACAACAAAAGAAATAAAAAAAGCATGCTTTATAGGATGTTTTGTCTAATTATTATTTTCTCTTATATATGCTTCTGCTTTTTTTTTTTTTGGTGGAACTGGGATTGAACTCAGGCCCTTGCACTTGCCAGGGAAGCACTTATGCCACTGAACCATCTCCCCAGCCCCTTCTTTTGCATTTTTTAATAGGGATTTTCCCCCCTTGTATGGAATTCATACAGTGGCTTCTTGATATTTAGAAAGGAGTGGTATCAATTGATAAGTTATAAAATTGAAAAATATGGGGCTGGGGAGATGGCTCAGTAGAATAAGTGCTTCCCTGGCAAGCGCAAGGGTCTGAGTTCAATCCCTGGTTCCTCCCCCCCCCCCCAAAAAAAAAAGAAAAAAATGTGTGTGTTCGTTTAGACATTGGTTGAACATGAAACTCCTCTCATGTAACAGTAAGAGGCATCTAAGGAATCAGATATAGGGTCACTGATTGACTGGATTCATGTACCACATGACTTAATTGCTCCTAACGAAGGCCATTTTCTTCCAGCAAAACTATAGGGTATATTAAGTCATAGACCTTTGGATAATTATGGTTTATTGAAACTGTACAATATTTCTAATGTTTGGGATTTATTATACAGAGGAATAAATTGGATCTTCATAATAAAGTGATTTATATGAAAATAGGCCCAGCGTTTTAGAGGCAAAAGTTATTTGGGATCAGGGACAGGGATATAGCTCAGTGGCACAGTGCCTCCCTGGCAAGCTCAAGGTCCTGAGCTGGAGTCCAGGTACCAAAAAAAAAAAAAAAAAAAAAGTTATTAGGGGTCAATTATTAACTTACGGTAAATAAAGTTTGGTTTTATAAATTGTGGGAAAAAATAAAACCTAAATTCTGTTTCTAAAGAAAATGCTTGTAGAAAGTTTCATCTAGTTTTAGGTAGTGTTTTTTAAATGTGTTACAAAAAATTTTGTGTTTTGGTCTTTTTTTTTTGGTACTGAAGATCAAACTCAGGACCTTGAGCTTGCCAGGCAGGCTCCTATGCTACTGAGCTATCTCCCAGCCCCTTTTATGGTCTTTTTTTGTGAGACAGGGTTTTGCTATATACTTCAAGTTGTCCTTGAACTCACTTTATAGCCCAGGCTATCTTCAGACTCACTGTGATCTTCTTGCCTCAGCCTCCCTAGTTCTGGGATTACAGGCGTGTGCCACCATGCCTGGCTTGTTACAGATCTTTGTAAAATCTTTCCTTTCACAAATAATTTTTTTTTAATTTTTTATTTACAAATAATTTTTCTTGTTATTTTCCACTGTACTTTGTCGTTGTTCTTTTCCTGTTTAATTTCAACCACATTTTTTCCATGTCATATCTTAATCCATCACTTGGTAGTTCTGCTAAAATAAGCAAACTTTCTACTCTAATTTTTGTTTGGCATTCTTCATATGGAGAATAAGGTGATAAAACTACTGAAGGGAAATTTCCAAAAACTTGGTACTTTTGTTGATCTAAATTTTAGTTCCTGGATTTTTCTCATAGTTCATTCAGGATTGAATGTGAATTTATATTTATTATACTGCTTTAAGTTTAGAGGTTTTGGCTTTTGAAAACAACTGGGTATATTGATAGCATTCTTTGATCATTTCTTTGGTTTGCCTGTCCTTTAATTTCAGATGTCCTAAAATACGTAAATGGAAATCAATGCTCTAGGCTAATGTTGCCAGATCTAACTGGTAATTGTGGTTAAACTGATCGAAAGTGATGTAATAGTGTCCATTCTGTTGCAGTATATTAATGGCATATTAAGAGCTAGGTGTGATGGTTTGCTCCTGGAATCTGAACCTCTCTGCAGCCTGAAGAAGGAGAGGATTTACAAGTTCCAGGCCAGCTTCAGCAATTTAGTGAGCCTCTGTCTCACTAGGGCTAGGGATAGAGTATAGTAGAAGAGCTCAATGGTAGTTAAACCTTTAGGTTTGATTCTGAATACTGGGAAAAAGAAAAAAAAAAGAGAAAGAGAGAGAGAGAGAAAAGAAACATGGTTTGTGTAAGTTCAACAAATATACCAAGATACTAAGCAATTTAACTTATTACCTGAAATTAATAGAACTTATAGAGTTTTTTTTTCCTATTTTTTTTTTTTTTTCCATTGTAAGGTATCTGAATCCAATGGGGAATTTTTTTTCAAGTCTTCTGAGCTCTTTGAGAGTCCAGTGTACTTGGAGGAAGCTGCAGATGTACTTTGTATTCTACAAGCAGGTACTGTCCTGAGTGCTAAGATACAATTCAGGCATAGTTTGCTGTTAAATGATGGTGTGTAACTTCTTAGTCTGGAATGTTGTTAGGAATTATCTAATAAAATTAGGCCTAAAAGTTGAAGCTAAAAAAGTAACTAATAGAGCGGCCCGGGAAATGGCTCAGTAGAATAAGTGCTTGCCTGGCAAGTGTAAGGTCCTGAGTTCGATCCCCAATTCTGCCAAAAAAAACGCCCCCAAAACCAAACAAAACAAAACAAAACAAAAACCCAAACTAATAGAATAATTGAGTTAAAGGACATAACATTATTGGTATAATGTTGCATATATTTTACATATTAAAATCATATTTGATTTAAATGATTTTAATTAATTAATTAATTTTGTGGTACCAGGGATTGAATTCAGGACCTTGTGCTTGCCAGGCAGGCGCTTATTTAACTGAGCTATCTCCCTGCCCCTGATTTAATGATTTTAATGCTTGTTAGTGATTTTGGAAAATGGTCACAGTATGTAAAATGAAAAAAGCATCTGTATATGGTGATGCATACCTGTAGTCTGAGCTACTTGGGAGGCTGAAGTGGGAATATTTCTGGTTCAAGGCTAGCTTGGACACTATGGTGAGATCTTGTTTTTATTTATCTTTTTTAAAAAAAAAAAAAAAACATTTATTTGTGTGTGTGTGTGTGAGAGAGAGAGAGAGAGAGAGAGAGAGAGAGAGAGAGAGTGTGTGTGTGTGTGTATGTGTGGCCAGCTCAGCCCACCTGGGGGCGGGGCTGGCTGACATGTGGTGCTGGGGGATCGAACCGCGGTCCCTGTGCTTTGCCAAGCTTGTTCCAAGTAGGTGCTTTAGACCACTGAGCCATCTCACCAGCCTTATTTATCTTTTTTAAAAAAGAAAACACCACATGTGGTGGCACACATCTGCACTCCCAGCCCTTGGGAGGCGGAGGCAGGAGGATCACTGCAAGTTCAGGGCCAGCCTCCATAGTGAGTTCAAGGCCAGTCTGAACAACATAGTGAAACCCTGTGTCAAAAAACAAAATGGGGCCTGGGGAGATGGCTCAGTGGACTAAGCGCTTCTCTGGCAAGCTCAAGGGCCTGAGTTCAATCCCCGGTTATGCAAAAAAATAAAAAACAAAAAACAAAAACAAACAAACAAAAAAACCCCAGGGGCTAGAGAGATAACTGAGTAGAATAAGTGTGCCTGGCAGGGTCCTGAGTTCAGTTCCTGGTGCGACACACACACAACCACAGATTTAAAAACAAAGACAAAAGAAAATAAAGGCTGGATGTGGTGGTGCGCGCCTATACTCCCAGCACTTGGGAGGCTGAAAACAGGAGGATCACTATGAATCCCATCTATATAGTGAGACCTTGTAGACTCTGTACTAAAAATACATTAAAAAAAGAAAACAAAACAAAACAAATCAAAATATTGATTTTAGACAATGAGATTGGAGCTAATTTTTTTCAATTTTTATTATCGAGAAACAAATATGAATGAGACAGTTTGAAAGCTGATTAGTAGGTCAGTTTCAATAATCAATGCTTTGTACATTGTTATCTTCTTAGTGGTTATCTGTAGTACAAGAGGCAGACAGGATATCCTGTCCAAACACTATTAATACACATCTTTCTTCTCAATTGAATTAAGCGAAAGTAGCTATATATCTATCCTAACTATTTTGTATATACAGATACAAAATATTCTTTCCTTTGTATCCCCTTTTTTTTTGTTTAGTCCTGTCAGAGGTGGGTATTCTATTGGCATCTAAATACTATAGGTGCATGAATTCAGCAAAACAATCTAACACTGTCCAGCAGTCTGTAATATTAGTGGGTTATCCTCAAGAGTTATTGACTTGAGCCTTTTATAGCTCATCGTATTCATATGGCTTTACTTTATATACCTCGATTTTATACTTTTCTGCTGGATGGTTAAGACCCAGATAAAGCAAGACCTATATAACAAAAAGTGTAACTTTTGTATCAGTCAAGTCCTCTCAGGATTTATCCTGTAGCCCTGTACTGCACTTTGTAGATCCTTTGTCAGTGTCACATTACTCTGTGGCTCCGTAATCTCCTTGATCAGAAAATTTGGGGCACAACTGAGTTACATGATGTTATAGTACAGGTTTTCCTATGTCCCGAGTCTTCACTGACCTTGAAAGGCTAGGGCCAAAATGTTGGCTGAGCTTGCAGCCTTTCCTTTTCTCCAATTTTTTTTTTTTTTTTTTTTTTCCAGAACTGGGGATTGAACTCAGGCCCTTGTGCTTGCCAGGCAAGCACTTATTCTACTGAGCTATCTCCCCAGCCCTTTTCTCCAATTTTTGATCTGCTAACTTAGGTTGTTAACCCTCCAGAAGAGAAGCTTATTATTAACCTGCAATATATGCAATTTGATTTACCCTATCTGTCTAAATATCAAATATCTTAGGCATATCATGGAACATGGATTTTCTATCAAGTATTGATATATTGAACTTTAAAGTCCTTACAGAATATGAAGGAAAAATAATTTTAAAAAACTAGAGATAAGCATTTATATATTTTTACAAATAAATTTAGAAATCTAACCATATACAGAGTTGTAGCATGACAGACCTGTGAGATTAGAGCTAATTTAAAAAGACTTCTATTGTTTTATATTTTTCAGATTCTTTTTTTTTTCCTGTGGAACCGGGGATTGAACTCAGGCCCTTGCGCTTGCCAGGGAAGCGCTTATTCTACTGAGCCATCTCCCCAGCCTCCAGATTCTTTTTAATAGGCATATATGACAGAAATAAAAATGAAAAGATAAAAATGCAAAGAATTTTGTAGAATCTTAGGCTAGCAAAGTTTAATAAAACTTTCTGTGTTGTTCTGTGTGCCCTGTCCATTTAGTAGCCACTAATCACATGTTCTGTGGGTTACTTGAACAGTAGCTACTGTGACTGAGCAACTGAACAAATTTTATTTATTTATTTATTTTTATTTTTTGAACAATTTTAATTAAATTTAAATTTAAATATCCATATACAGCTATTGGGTGTTTTACTGGATAGCTCAGCTTGTTTGCTTGAGACAAGGGTTCTCACTGTGAAGTCTCTGCTGGTCTTGAACTCACTGTGTAGCCCATGCTGGCTTTGAACTTGTGATCCTCCTGTGTCAGTCTCCTGAGTGCTAGAATTACAGGCATGTGCTACATCACACACAGAATAGCTCTAAACCATGAAAATAAGAATACTTTAGTTGAAGTTTGCTGAAATATTTGACATCAAAATATGTAACATAATGAAATAGCACTCTTTAACAGTGACATGGATTTTGTTTTCTTATAGAGCTCCCTTCCTTGCTTCCTATAGTTGATGTAGCTGAAGCCTTGCTGCATGTTAGAAATGGTGCCTGGTTCTTGTGTCTCTTGGTGGCCAATGTTCCTGATAGTTTTAATGAAGGTAAATATCATTTTAAAATGGGATATTGGAGACATTTGGTGGAGCATATATACAGTGTACAGGATCCTTTGTGTGTGGTACTGGGGATTGAATGTAGGGCCGTCTCACTGAGCTACATCCCTGATTTTTTTTTTTTTTTTTTTTTTTTTTTTTTTTTTTTTTGCTTGGAATGCCTTCAGTGCAGGTTTGGCTGGCTTGAGTTGTGGGGATGGAACCACAGCAACCTGAGCCTGACTGCTTTGTTGAAGCAGCCACTTAAAGAACTGAGCTAAGGGGCAGGCTCCCCGCTCCCCGACTCTTGTATTTTTTATTTTTAAAGTCTTGCTGCATTGCACAGGCTGGACTTAAGTTTGTGTTCCTTTTGTCTCAGCCTCTCAGAGTGCTGGGTTTAGAGGGTTGCATTATCAGCCTGTACCAGCACTCCCCCCTCCCCTTTAAGGTTGGGATCTCGCTATATTGGCCGAGTTGGTGTTGAATTCCTGGGCTCCAGCAGTCCTCTTCAGTCTGCTGTGTAACTAGAATTATGGACACATGCCACTGTGCAGTGGTTAAGTCCTATTTTTTTTTAGTTAAGAAGAAACAAAGGATTTTATTTCAAAGCTTATTCAAAGCAATTAGACCTTTGATTTTTAGGCCTGTTGCTGTCAACTGAGAAAAATCAATAAAGAATTTTCATCTCTATTTTAAAGTACAAATGACTGAAAATGGTTCTTTGTGTCTGAGTGATATAAAAATAAAAACTATTATTATTATTAAGCAAGATAATTTATAAATTAGGAGCCAGGGAATAAAAAGCCTTGAATTTGGGGTTGTAATTCTTAATTTTGTTACTCATTGCATGAGATCCATTAAGACATAATAACTTCTCATCTGTGACACGGGCATATTGATAGTATTTCCCTTAGACATCTCATGACATGATAGACTATGTTTTCAGTGCTTTTCTGTCTGCTTAATATTTTCAACTACTGAAAGAGGTATCTTGATGTCCCCACCATAATTGTGGATTTGCCTGTTTCTCTATTTAGTGCTGTCAGTTTTTGCTTCATGTGTTTTCAAGTTTCCTTATGGAGTCCATATATGTGCATCTTTTAGCTATCTTTTTTTTTTTTTTTTTTTAGGGGAACCGGGGATTTAACTCAGGCCCTTGTGCTTGCCAGGCAAGTGCTTATTCTACTGAGCCATCTCCTCAGCCCCATGCATCTTTTGATAAATTGAGCCTTTATTTCCTTCATTATGAAATAATCTTTATGCCTGGTAATTTTTATGTTTTTGAAGTCTACTTTTTCTCATATCAATACAGCCAGGTAATCTCTTATAATTAGTGCTTGGATACTATATATTTTTAGATATTATTTTTAAAAATGAATTACTTTAAAAATTTTTTTTTAATGTATGTAGTAAAGGGTCTACAGGGTCTCACTATGTAGATCAGACTCATAGTGATTCTCCTATTTTCAGCCTCCCGGGCACTAGGATCACAGGCATGCACCACCATGCCCATTCTCAATCATGTCTCAGTATGCCCCCACTGGTGGGACTGGCACAGCATGCTGGGGATGCCCTGACTGCTGGGCTTTGCCTACGCAGACGCTTTAGTCTGCTGAACTATCTGGCCTGCCTACCTTTTTTTTTTTTGAAGCAGGATCTCACTGTATAGTATAGACTGGCCTTGAACTCACCTGTGTAGCTCAGGCTGACCTTGAACTCAGTGATCCTCCTATCTCAGCCTCCTGAGTGTTGGGATTTTAGGAGTGCCATGACACCTGGTTTATCTTTTTGTTTTAATTCAAGGTAGATTTTCTTGTTTTCTTTCATTTTTTTTTTTTTGTTGTAGGAACCCAAGGGCTTCCATATACTAGGCAAATGCTCTATCACAGAGCTACATCCCCAGCCCTTTAAGGGAGATTTCTTGTAGGTAGGCTGGCCTTGAACTTGTGGAGATCCTTATACTCAGCCTCCTGAGTACTGGGGTTACAAGTGTGCACCACCATGCCCAGTTCATAACATCTTTCTTACAGAGCTTGGGTTAATAGACTCTTAAATATTCAGTTTGTAGAGGCCTAATCAAAAATGGAGAACGACAAGATGAAGAAAGCCTTGGAGGAAGGCGCAGGACAGATGCTTTACGCTTCTTATGTAAAATGAATCCTTCTCAGGCCCTCAAGGTCCGAGGCATGGTGGTAAGAGATCCTGTTGTTTTATGAGATAAAGCCCTTTATACTGTATTAGGACAAAATACTTTTCTCAAAATGGTTTTAGAATCTTGTAGAGTTTGGGAATTTTTATTATAGATTGGATGAGTTACCTTTCCTTTTCTCAGGCTGGCCTTCAACTCACTATGTATAGACCAGGATGGCCTCAAACTGGTGGTGATCCTCCTGCCTGTGCCTTCTGAAGTTGGGATGATAGGAATAGCCACAATGCCTGGGTTAGATACTTTAGATTTTAAAACGTCTAACCTTTTCCTTAAGATACTGAGTTTAATTTGTTTGCTTTGTTGTGTTAGGTGGAAGAATGTCACTTGCCAGGCCTTGGAGTGGCTTTGACGTTGGATCATACCAAAAATGAGGCTTGTGAAGATGGAGTGAGTGACCTGGTTTGTTTTGTCAGTGGTTTGCTTCTTGGAACAAATGCAAAAGTCCGGACTTGGTTTGGAACTTTTATCCGAAATGGACAGCAGGTGAGTGCCAAATATTTGTATCCATGATGGATCATATGGTTTGGTAATTACTGAAGGAGGAAGAAACACTCTTAAGATATCATCTTGCCTGGCTAGCACAAGGTCCTGAGTTCAATCTCTGGTACTGGGGGGTGGGTGGGGGGGGAAGAAGATATATGTAGGTCAGTAGTTATCAAACTTAATTTCAGGGACATCTTTAACATTTTGAAAAATCATTGAGGATATAAAAGAGCATTTAAGGGGCTGGGGAGATGTCTCAGTAGAATAAGTGCTTGCCTGGCAAGCGGCAAGTGCAAGGGCCTGATTTCAATCCCTGGTTCTGCCAAACAAAACAAAACAAAAGAAAAACAAAAGCAAAAAGAATTTATTTGAATGGCTTTTTATCTTTTGATGTTTCTCATTAAAAATGTAACTAAAGGTTTTGAGATATTTAATTATTAATAAGTAGCAGTAAATACTTTATTAAATATGAACCTAATTTTAAATAGGAAGTATAGTTTCCAAAGCCAAAACATTTAGAGAGAATAATGGTATTTTACAGTTTTCATATCTTGTCATTATTTGGTTTAATAGAAGCTTTTGGAAAAACACATTGTAGGCTCGTGGGATGGGAGGGAAAAAAGGCCATGTCTTAGTATCGTTAAGGAAAAACTTTTGCCCTTTTGGCTTCCATGAAAAGGTCTTAGAAATCTCCAGGATCCTGGGTCAGACTCACTGCTGCATTAAGTCACTAAGATAAGTTATACTCTGCAATTTTACTCTATACATATGTGCATATTTATGTACGTACTCGTCTAGTGCCGTTTAATCATTATGAAGTGTGCAGTTTGTGCATTAACTACATTTACAATGCTGTGCAACCTCTTTTTGGTCTTTTTGAATCAGGACTCGCTATGCAGTTCAGACTGGCCCTGAGCTCACTTTGTTGCCCAGGCTAGTCTTGAACTTGCAGTGGTCTTCCTGCTTTAGCCTCCCTAGTGCTGGGATTACAGGGATTACAGAAGCCAAGACACCATGCTTGGCTTCTTCTTTTAATTATTAAGCTTGATTTTTAAAGCAGATTTATCATATTGTACTTGACATGCTCGGATAATAAACAAGTAACATTTGCCTAGTCCTTTGTAGCTTAGAACTGCTTTCAGTGTATTAGCTTTTCTTTTTCACTGACGTACCTACTTACTAGATAGCATTTGCTACTTATCAGATACAACATTAGGTCCTGTAGAGTCAGAAATAATTAAGACATCATCTCTGCCAGAAGAACTATCGTGCATATAGGCTTGGAAACTCTTAATTACAATGTCTACACTAGCAAAATATTATTACTAAAATATATATATATTTTTTTTGGCAAAAGAAATTAGGTTCAGAGAATTTACCTCATGTATTTTATTTTTTTTTTTTTTTTATTTACTTATTTTTTTGTGGCCAACTCAGCCTGCCCGGAGGGAGGGGCTGGTGTGAGACTGGATTGAACTGTAGTCTCTGCGGTTGCCTAAGTTTGCCTAAGCAGGCGCTTAAGACCACCGAGCTATCTTGCTGGCTCCATCCCTCATGTATTTTAAAGTATATGGTCATCTAGTAGTAGAGCTAGGGCTTAAATTCAAGATTATGTTCCTCTATAATCTGAGTATTTCTTACTGTACTGCATTATGTATTTGCTATTTATTTAGTGGTACCAGGGATTGAAATCAGGACCTTACACTTGCCAGGCAGGTGCTTATTCTACTGAGCTATCTCCCCGGTCCATGCTTTTTATTTTTTAATTTTTTCTTTGCTGTAGATCAAACCCAGAGGCTTATACAAGGTAAGTAATAGGCTAGACAATAATAATACTATTTGGCTACATATTCAGCCCTATACTGTGTATTTAAAGGTATCATTTAAATAATAGTAATTTTCTGGGCATGATGACACATGCCTAGAATCCTAGCACTTGGGAAACAGAGGCAGGAAGATTGCCCTGAGTTCAAGACTAGTCTGAGCTACATAGTAGTTGAAGTCCTGCCTGGACTACATAACGAGTAGTCTTGTCTCAAAAAAAAAAAAAAAAACAAAGCAGTTGTGTAGTTCATATGATCACTAATTTGGTCTTCCATCTGCAACCTGTCCCAGTCAGGGGGAGCAGAATAGCGTCCAACAGATCTGTGAATTTTGAGTTTACTTGAATTGTTAAAATGAGATTCGGTAGTTGAAACAATCTTGGAACAGGTTGGTTTCAGGTGTTCAAACAGGGAGGTCTGTTTGAGCTTCCGTTCATATTAGTAAAAGCTCCATGCTCTCTTCTGTTTGTGATTCTGATTTCTTTCAGAGAAAAAGAGAAACCAGCAGTTCTGTCCTGTGGCAAATGAGAAGGCAGCTTCTTTTGGAGCTGATGGGCATTCTTCCCACAGTCCGAAGCACCCGCATTGTAGAAGAGGCCGATGTGGAGATGGAGCCCAACGTGTCCGTGTACTCGGGCCTGAAGGAAGAGCACGTTGTGAAAGCCAGCGCACTCTTGCGTCTGTACTGTGCTCTCATGGGGATTGCTGGGCTCAAGTATTCCATAATTTGATATTTTAACTTTTTGCCATTTTACTTTCTTTCTAATTCCAGGAAAGTGAGCCTAATGCCTTTGTAGTTGGAGAATTAAAAGTTTTTCCTTGGGCTCAGGTAGTAGCCTGGTCTACATCAAGATGGTTGTTCTAAGGCCGACTATCCCTATCAGGAATATACTTATTGGGCCGGGGAGATGGCTTAGTGGAATAAGCGCTTCCCTGGCAAGCATAAGGGCCTGAGTTCAATCCCCAGTAAAAAAAAAAAAAAAAAAAAAAAGGAATATACTTATTTATTTTAGGTCTGATTGTAATAGAATTATAAAGATATAGGTGGGGCGAGAATAGTTTATTAATTTCTGATCACCACAGTTTGAGACTTCTACTGAATGATCTCTGTGTGATCCTTTACTTGGCCATGCAGCTAGTTGAAGTAAATCTCTTCTTTGTTTCATTTTGCAACTGACATCATACACTTCTTGTTTTTTTTTTTTTTTTTTTTTTTTTTTTTTTTTTGTGGAACCGGGGATTGAACTCAGGCCCTTGCGCTTGTCAGGGAAGCACTTATTCCACTGAGCCATCTCCCCGGCCCCCCTCATACACTTCTTAAAACTGATATATGGGGCCAGGAAGATAGTTCAGTAGACTAAGCACTTGCCTGGCAAGTGCAAGTGAGTTCAATCCTCGGTACTGCAAAAAAACCCCCAAAACCAAAAAACAACAACAAAAAAAACCCAACCCTGATACATTGTGGTGGTTAAACACAAACCTACTTATTCGCTGTACTGCATCCTTTTGAATAATATCCTCAACTATTCTATGTTCATTGTCACTTTGTGTCTCTGATATGGATGAATTTCAGTTACTACAGTTTGGTTAAAAAATTCTTATCCCTCAATGGTGTCCAGATTTCAGTGGCTACAGTGTATGAACCTCATAATAATATAAAGTACAAACTTTGCTGTGTGCTCTGTAGGACACATGGAGCTGTATGATTAAGCTCGGGTCTGTTAGTGACTGTATCATTTCTTTTAAAGTCTGTTGGGGACTGAGCACCACACATCTCTTGTTGGATTCACGTGCAGACAGCAAAGTGGTAGTTATGTTGCTTCCTTGTCTCTCAGTGGGTGGTAAACCTATGCCACTTACTAAAAGTGGGTAAATGGAAGAGGGAATTTGCCATAGGAAGAAAGTATAATAAAGAAACAAAAAAAATATTAACACGGAAAATGACATTTGAGCCAAATATAAATTGAAATAGCTGATTGTATGAATTTTAACACTGGCACCATTTGATAGACCCCTCAGTATGTAGTCAGAGGCATTTAGCAAAGTTGAACATGTTGACGTAAGTGAGGAAAGTGACTTATAAGAAAAGGATGACATTTTCCTAGAGGTTGTGACACATGCAAACATCTTTACCTTACAAGAACTTTTGGGTGTTTCAGAAGCAAACTGCAAAGGATAAAGTGCTGGCAGCTGAGCCAGACCTAGAAGGATATATGACAGTTCAGCAGGGTATAGAAAAAAGTGCTTATTCTATATTACAAGTTACGCAGTGTAAAGAAGGCAAAGGCTCTTCCCAAAAGAACATAACACTGTGGGCCGGGGATGTAGCTCAGTGGCACAAGTCGTTGCCTTAGCAAGCACAAGGTCCTGAGTTTGATTCCTGGTATCCCCCCCAAAAAAAGAAAGAAAGAAAGAAAAGACACCTGTTTGGGATCCCAGCATCTGGGAAACTAAGGCAGGAGGAGTCCAAGTTTGAGCACAGCCTGAGCAATATAATCACCTAGACACAAAACGCTTTAATTCCCAATGTTTCTAGTGTTTTCTACTGTTGAGTACCATGTAAATATTAGTTTTTTGCCCGTTTCTGTATGCATAACATACTTTCACGTTTTGACAAAAACAGTGAGTAGGTCACAGAGCAATCATAATTTTCACCATTCATTATTAAGATTGTATTGTGTGGTTTTAGCTGTGTGTTCTTTTTTATTGTCTCACTACTGGGAAAAGCCTGCCTATATTTGTGCCTCAAATTGTAATTATTTTGCTTTTGAGAACTTTGGCTGTCAGTGATTTTATAGTGTGGGGTCATTAAACAGTTCAAAATTGTATCAGTGAGGCTAATATGTTGTGAAGTCTTCTTTCTTCAGCTTAAAAAAGTAAATCCTAATCATGTGTTGCTTTTTAGACCAACTGAAGAAGAAGCTGAACAGCTACTGCAGTTGATGACAAGTCGTCCTCCTGCTACGCCAGCTGGGGTTCGCTTTGTTTCCCTTTCCTTTTGTATGCTACTGGCCTTTTCTACACTTGTCAGGTACCCTGCTGTACACGTTGTTCTACTTTCTCAAAGTCTGGATTATTTACTTACTCAAATGGATAACAGGACCTGGAAGTGTAGGTGGTTAGAAGAGACAGTGACTCACATATGTGAAGCCCTGGATTTGATCTTCTGTACTGAGAAAAAGGAAGTACAGATAGCATTAGCTTAAGCATTTACTATACGTTTGCTGCAGCTGCAGGATCTCTGGGAGTCCCAGCTGTGTAGTGAGACTCTATACCATATTAATTAAAAAAAAAAATTCACTATAAAAATTTTTCTCAGGGGGCTAGGGATATAGCTCAGCAGCGTAAGCGCCTGCCTGGTAAGTGCACAGTCCTGAGTTTGATCCCTGGTACTGCCAAAAAAAAATTTTTTTTTGCTCGGATATGAGCAGTAGTTGTAGTAGCTTTTAATAAAAGTGTGTCAGTAACATTTGTTGTATTTCAGTCGTTTATCAGAGTTTCATAAAATCATTGTTAAAGGAGGAAAAATAGTTCTTTAAGGTTTTTAAAATTAAGTTTGGCATCGTGGTACATGCCTTCCAGGGAGGTTTGCAGTTTAGAGCCCATCCTGGGCAACTTAGCTACTTAATGAGACCCTTTAAAGATAAAAAAATTAAAAGTTTGCACTGAGGGTGTAGCTCAGTGTGAAGGTCCTGGATACAATCCCAAGGACTGCTACAAAAAAGAGACTTCTTTCCTATCTCTGAACACAGCGTCTTTCAGTTCTTTGGCTAATTGTCCTGGGTTCGACTAAGTTGTTCTTGACATGTTTGTATTTGATACATTTTGCTAATTTTTTGTGTTAGATATTGTTGAGTTCCCACTATAAAAGATAAGGAAGTAGTTATTTCTCTGTCTGAAAGTATATCCACATATCTTCCCTATTCTCCCATTCACCTTTTACAGTTATAGTGATTTTGATTAGATCAGTAGTTACAGTATTACATTTAATTATGTAATTACTGCTGAGAGCGCAGTCCCATAGTAGATGATCTCTCTGATACGAATAATTTTTCAGTGTTTTGTTATTAATTTGCCTGGTGTTTTATGCGTCATTAACGTAAATCTCTGCAAGTCTAAATCTTCTCTCAGCATGCTGTGATTCATCTGATAGTCTATTAGTTTAATCTTTTTTAGAAATCTCTGGTAGAGCATTTTGATCTGCTTAGGTTTGGAACACAGCTGTGCACACCTCGCCTCTAAGAATCCCTCTTCATGTAGGGGACTTTCTTCCCCCTTCTTTCTAAACCCCCTGTTAACCCTGTATTTTTTTTTCTTTTTTTTGCGGAACCAGGGATTGAACTCAGGCCCTTGTGCTTGCCAGGAAGTGCTTATTCCACTGAACCATCTCCCCAGCCCCAACCCTGCATTTCATGTCGTTTACTTTTCATTTACTTCCTCATTTTGCTTTTGAGAAAATGGGCGTGTAGGAAATAAATTCTTTGAAATTGGGATTTCTGCAGTTGCCTTTATTTCTGACATTTGATTGTGTGATGGATTATAGACTTTTAAAATAAAAGAATTAGAATCTTTAGAGAATTTTTAAAGTTTTTCCCCATTGTCTTCTGATTTCTGGTATCAAGCCTGGCATTCTGATTCCTAGTCCTTTGGCCTGCTCCTTTTCAGTGTACAAACCTGTAGGGTTAGCATTCTGTCCCTAAGGTTTTAAAACTTCTGTTCTTATTTATTGTCTGAAGTATAAATATTCAGTAAACCTATTCATGTCTTACAGATCTAGGAACATGTCTAGAATTAAATTGCTAGTGTTTTTCCTTTGAATTTTCTTTGTTTAAAATCTCCTTTTGGTGGGCATGGTGGCACACACCTGTTATCCCTGTGCTCTGGAGGCTAAGGCAGGCGGTTCCCTGTGAGTTTGGGGCTGGCCTATACAACATAGTGAATTCAAGGCCAGCTTGAACTATATAGCAAGACCCCCATCTAAAAAAAAAACAACCCAGAAAATACCTCCTACTTTTATTTGAGTGGATCTTGATGAAGTGATCATTTTATTTTTTAATCTTTACTCACCTTTATCTTGTTCTCGCTTTTTTTTTTTTTTTTTTTTGGAACCAGGGATTGAACTCAGGCCCTTACGCTTTCCAGGGAAGCGCTTATTCTACTGAGCCATCTCCCCAGCTCCTTGTTCTTATTTTTAAAAAAACTTTATTGTGATATAATCTGTATACCCATAGAATATGTTGTATAGAATTAAGTGGTTTTTAGTTACTTACAGAATTACACAAATATCTTCGCAGTCTTAATTCTAGGATATTTTTATCACTATAGAAAGAAACTGATTATTTTACCTTTTATGATTTGACCTCAACTTGATCCTCAATTCGCTATTCAGTGTTTAATTTCTAGCTCTGTTTTGTTCTTTGAATGTTTCTTTATAGTACCTGTTCCTCCATGCTTGCATAATATTATTGATTGTATCATAATAATAATGATGTTAATCATAATAAATGATATTAAAATTAGGAATGTCAGTAAATATCAATGGACTTTAAAGGGGCTTTTGCCGACCCCACCCTTGGGGCATGCTGAGATGGCAAGTAAGACTGGGCGTGGTGATGTGCGCCTTTAATCCCAGCTCTTGGGAGGCTGTAAACAGGCGGATCACTACAGTCCAATCTAGTGAGACCCTGAACACTGTAGACCCTTCCTTAAAAATACAAAAATAAGTAAATAAATAAACAGGCTTTATATGTACTTTTCTCTGAGGTCTTTCTTTGGTCTCTTTCTAGTTAGAAGCTTTTCTTAGGTGTTTACTGTTTCTAGATTGTTGTTATTTATGAATAGGAAACTGAAGGATACATTAGAACATCAAAATGCTTGGATGGAACTTTAGGAAACTATTGGGTTGATCAGAGCCCTAGAGAAGCCCACCTTGTTGCCTGGAGCATAAGGGCGGTCTCAGAACCTGTGAGCCAAATGAGAAAAGAGTGGCGAGGCCTGTGGAGCTCAGCCTGCAGCATCGCTCCTCTCTCAGCTCTCCTGTGGTACTTTCAGAATGGTGCTCCAGGTATAACCAGATGCCCTTAACACTGCTTCACCACTTCAAGAGAGTGATCCATCAGCCTTCTCTTAGCTTAGGGGGAGATGGGTATTCATCTAGATGTATAGAATGGAGAAGGTGCCTTATTTTAGTCTCTTCCACTCTTAGAACCTTCTGAAGCTGTCAATAACCTACATCCTTTGGTATAAAATGATCGATTTTCTCTTCTGCCTGTGTAATGTTCTGCTGCTACAGGGCTGTAAAGTCAGTTATCTCTCATCTAAATGTTCTCTAGATTCCAGTATTGTACTGTGTTATCTCTATTCAACATTTATGCCTTTTAAGAAATTTACTTTAGTTTTGGTAGGGTTTCAGGAGGTTGGAAAATTAGATACATGAAATGAAATGAAATGCTTGCTTTCTTCATTTTTTTTGTGGAACCGGGGATTGAACTCAGGCCCTTGTGCTTGCCAGGGAAGCACTTATTCCACTGAGCCACACACCCCCTTTCCTTCTTCTTTACTTGAAGTGTTTTCTAAACATTACCTTTAATCCTTAAGTTTTTTTATTCAGGATTACAATACCAGTATTTAGCAGGGATGGGATTCCTGCTCAAGTTTTGTAGACTAAAGACATTTTCCTGTTTTATAACAGTGTGTTTTATCAGTGGAATCATTTCAGTGTATTTGAGCATGACGTTTGAAAGTTTCATTGATTGGGGGTAGTAGGAGAAGCATGTCTTTTAAGTTTTATGTTTTATCAATATTCACTATAGTCAGGCGGAAAGCAAACAATAAAAATATTTTTCACAAGTCAAAATCCAGCTTGTACCTTTCTATTTAAAAATCTAGGAATTGCTTTTAAAATGCTATTGTCATTGTTAAATTTTTAACCATTTTTTCATATCTGACTGGCCTATAGTTACCTTTTTTCTTTTTCATGGTTAGTAATCATTTACTTCTCTATACTTTTGGACCTTAAAAATTGTTCTATAAATTGGTCTTCATTTTGCTGGTAAAACTGGACTAATTTGTTACTGCCTAGTAGCTAGATTCTGACATATTGGTACTTAAGTTTTCTCAATAAATACATGTCAGCTGTTAATACCGTCCTTTGAAAATGTTATTTTATTTTATTTTATTTTGGCGGAACCGGGGATTGAACTCAGACCTTTGCACTTTCCAGGGAAGCACTTATTCTACTGAGCCATCTCCCTGGCCCCCATTTGAAAATTTTAATCCCAAATAGTCTTTGTTTTTCCAAAGAATATGAAGAAGTTAACTCTTTCCAGCTTTCAAATATAGTAAGATTTGAGTGTTGATTCTTCAGATTCAGGGAGGAAAGCAAAGGTGCCATCCTTGAGCTCCAGAGTGACCCTGTCGCTCAGTTATAATATATGGTCCAGTTCAGCAAACGGTGTATTTAACTTGATATTTCCTCAAAATAAGAGAAGAAAAAATAATTCCTACCAAAAATAATTTCTGAATGCTTTCTGATGCATCTGCTGGTAAATCCAGTTTAAAGCAGTGACTTGTATGTTTTACACAGTACTCCTGAGCAGGAGCAGCTGATGGTGGTGTGGCTGAGCTGGATGATAAAGGAAGAAGCTTACTTTGAGAGGTAAGTTTACTTCTGGTAACATTGTTGGGAGAAATTTAGCTGAGAAGCTTTTTTATTCTCTCTTTGAAAATTCTTTTTTTTTTTTTTTTCTGTTTCGCCAGCACTTCGGGTGTGTCTGCGTCTTTTGGGGAGATGCTGCTGTTGGTTGCCATGTACTTTCACAGCAACCAGCTGAGTGCCATCATTGACTTAGTCTGCTCCACTTTGGGAATGAAGGTAATTTCATTTCTAAAAGAAGATGTTTCCAGTTTGGAGGGCTTTTTTGAGTATAAATGAAATATATTGTTTTCATTTCCGTAATTCTAGTTGTTTTGTAATTTAAGGTTTTATCAGGCCCTCTAAGAAAGTACATTTTGAGGGACTTACTTGTAAGAATAACTGGTGTTCAATGCACAAAGTTTGGAAAGCACAGAAAAGCATGTTACTCACATCAGTTAGTAGTAGTAAAGTATACTACTGCTGCCATTCTAAGGTTCTGCCTGCAGAGAACCAAAACAGAACACGGTGTGTGATCCCAGCACTCTGTGAAGTGGAAGCAAGATAGTAAATATAAGCCCAGTGTGAGCAAAGTAGAGATTT